GCTCATCATCCTGGACAGTAACCTTTGAGACGCCACGACTTCGTTCCTTTCGTACCTTCATGAGTAATTCCTTTGCCTAAGATACTTCAAATGCCTCCGCAGGGAATGGTCGTGGCGTTTTTGAACTGCTTCCTTGAACATCCACAGATGATTCGCTGTTTTGCGAATATGTTTAGGAGGAAAATTGTGAAAATACGCTCAATCAGCTTAGAATTCTTTGTATATGTTCTTTGAAAATCTGAAACCATCGGGACTTGAAAAAATCTTTTATCGATGTATTCCGTGAGTTCAGAATCATTAACGCGTGAGAAATGCTGGTTCAGAGATGGCTTAGATTTGGGTGCTGCGTCGACCATATTGGTACCTAATTAGCATAATTTATATAAAATTCGTAATCGAAACGGAAGACGTTCCCTGCACTTTCCATTGATGTATTGTTCTCATTTCATTGTGGTCAAAAGTAGTCCTAAAGGGATATTACTATTGATTAGCTCAAGTCCAATAAGAAATGCATACGAAGTGTACAGCCTACTACCTAGCCTAACCTAAAAAGGCATAGTCTTGCAGGCTCGCGTGAAGCTGAAGTAGCTGAGGTTTCGACTTTTGCGAATATATATGGTCCGCACCGGGGCACTACAGCGTACTAGCTACACAGAAGTACCCTGGGCCTGGGTGAATTTGTCCCATTGTTTCACCAGGCAATGGATTCCTTTATGGTAGAATTCCGTGCGTTGGAATCAGGAAGTCACAACTTCCTTCGCCGCATCGTCCGAATGAAACCGGCGACGTTTCAGAGCTTTCTAAGGGGTCCAAATACGTGGAAGTTGCAAGGAGAGAGATCCGGGTTTCATGACGCATGTCCACTACCTTCTTGCTATATCGTGGGTAGATATACAGGTGGGTTATACATCATGTACCCAAGTGTCTGACTCCCTATCAAATTGCCATCAGGATGGATCGTTCCCTCCAAACGCCCTGGCTACTCTCACAGTGTGGTCCTGTTACACAACACCCCGCCCCACATCGCAATCACAACCAGGGGTGTTCAAATATGTAAATGTACTCAAGACAGCAAAATTCCTAATAATCACCTCATGCTACCTCTATTATCTTTGACGGGTTAGGTAATTAACTGTTTCAAACATAAAGTGTCATCTGGCCTTGAACTGATATCATGCATTGAATTCCGAAATTCCTCATTGCACGCTGCACCTAGGAAGACTTACGAAAACCAAACTAGGTTTATGGGACTCACAAGCCCCGATAATCCCAAAAACAAGAGAACAGCCAACATTTCAGTTGAAATAGTAGCTGGACTGGCTTGAGAATCATGAAATAGTTTGACAAAAATAAATTGAACAAATTCGGATTCATATCAGGAAGAGATCAGACATGAATTATTTTCTATATTTAGAAAAGCCTAGAAAATGTATTAAAAAACTCACGAATAAAATTTTAAAACGCTAAAAGTTCATGATCGCCATCATGACTTAATAAGCGGTTATTACAATATTCCATATAATCACATCTGAAAAATCCTAATTTTCATTTTGGGCAGCTGACGTAAGTGGAGGAAGACTGCATTTTCATATCACGAGTAGGGAAAATCGGTCTACTCCTCCTGTTAAAAATTTGAAGTTGGTTTCGTGGTTTTTGCAGAAGCACTTATCAAACGGAACATTTGGCAGCAGGATGGACTGAAGAAGTTCTAGATTCTGACCGTACGCACTTGAGTATGTCAACTTTTAGAGATAATGTCAACCTAATCCAGCAAAATCTGCCATTTCCTGTGCGCAATAATCTTCAAGGTATACTTTCAACCACGGCGAATTACCTTCCCGTCTCCAAAGGACACCTTTTGTCTCTGGACCTCAATCCGATGCCGTGGGACTGCTATGAAAGGGTAGAGAGAACAAAAAAACTTGATTTAAAGTTATCTGTTCAGTTACCCTCTTCATTCTCAGAAGACGATAACGGACTTTTAATCCACCAGAAGCATCAATCTTGATGAGGATAAGGACTCCACAATCCCTCACTCCTTTACAGAACCAAGTGAGCAAGTTCTTATTTCATCAGAGATCTTCAACGAGTTTCTTTTAATGCAAATATCGTATCCTTGCATGCATTTGCTGAGTAATTTTCTTTGGTGTGTGAAATCACCAAGGAGGCTTCATGGAGAGCTTTGCGCTAACGATCTGATTTAAAGATTTCCACATCATGCGGGCGAGTACTCCTCGTGTACATAATTACCTTCCTATGACACAAAATAAAGACAATTACTACTGTGATGCACGTTGATAACTGACTAGTTCCAACCCTGACCCAGTTGCACGATTTTTGGAATAAGCCCGATTTTGATACTTATTCAAACCAATTAATCTTTGTGATACACAGTCAGCAGGCAACTGATGGTCATTTATGCATTTCTGTGTGAAAGAGAGCTTGGACTTCGCATAAAAGCAGCATGTTCATGAAAACATGAAGTGCTCCTGTTTGCTGAAACCTATAAGTCGAAGGAAATCACAAATACATGCGCGAAATGTCAATCTTATCTGTTGATAGGTTGCCGCCTAGGCAGGCATGTCTTATTCGTTATACAAGTATAATTGGTAATACAGAATAAGCATCTCTCCATAGTATTGCAGTCCTACATGTGCTTGACAAGTCCGTTCCAGGCCTGGGCCTGGGCGTTCCAGGCTACTGACCACTTGGAAATTCAAGTGTTTCTATCTGCACGAGAAAATAAGATGAATTCAACAAATGAGTTCTTAGTTTAAACCACATGTTCAATGAGGTTAAACACAATGATAACTCGAACAGAAGGCCATTTAAATTTCCAAATTGACTTCAATTGTACTGCATAGGCCAACGGCACAGTTGGAAATTTCCTATAACTTTGCACTCTGATGTAAATGACCACTTCAAACGAAATTTAGACAGAAATGTCAATACTGGAGCATAAAATTGAGGTTCATGAACAGGTAGGCAAATCATGAGACAATGCCTGCCTCGCCTGGAACTGCAAGCTTGATGAGGGGATCACTGTAATATTCACATCGAAGAGACTCTTCCTCGGACTCGACTCTCAACTATCCATGGCAAGAACGTAATCGTTCACATTGCAAATGTCCTCCTGGACTTCCCCCGAGTCAAAATTGATTGTGATCTTTTTGTTGGCTCAACTGCTACAAAAATGTCATGTACTTCTAATAGCAAAACAGGGTCAGGTCGTGGTTGCGGCATAGCCTCGGTCAAGTTATAGGCAACCGACAAGGCCAAGGTTTGCCTTACACAGTACTAAACATTACTTTAGACTGAACGTCTTGGATTTATGTTTAAGGGCAGATCCGAGCGACGAGTTCTAAAAACGTATGGGATGAATGATTCATCAATCAATTAAAGGAGATGATCAGACTTCTTAAAATGAGGTTCTCAGCGTGAAAGTTAGGCTTAAGAGACAAGCCCCAGCTTACTCCCTTTTCCCTATAATGGACTAAATGAGGCATAAAGTTGGGTCGACTTCTCTTAGGCTCGTTTATACTCATGACTCAGCATGTGCATGAATCCATTAGTTCTATCTGCATGTTACGTGCAATACAACTTTAGCCTAGAATGTTTCTTTAAGCAACAAATAATAATAAAGGGTAAATAAAACTTTGCTAGACTTGTCCACACCACAACCAGGACTCATGCTTGGAACCACATTGGCTCACTCACCCAAATTACGTCACTCGTGCCTGTCCACGCACCTCGATGGCGTCGACTCATGTGATACCATCTATTGGCTGCAAAAGCAACCACTACTTTGTAAGGAAAATTTTAAACGATGCATTACTGCTTCATAGGAATACACGCGTCCTACATTAGAAGGAAATCACAACATTGGATGCTGCAATGCAATTTCTCATAGTATGCCCGTCTCTCAAGCCAGAAATATAGTTATTCCCTTTAAGAGTCTGTCAGAGACTGACACGAATGCTTCTGAAATGTACGGCTGAAATGTCTCCTCGACATTCTCAGAGGCTGCGGAAGATGAAACAAGTAGTCTCTCAGCATTTAGGGAGGATAATGCAGGGCGTTGGGACGGGAACACGACCGCGGACGAAAGGGGTCGGAGCTAGAAAGAAATTGCTTCGGTAATATTTGTGAGACAATTACTGCAACAGCCCGTTCGCAGTATCGGACAATTCAATTGAGTAATATTGCTGTAATTTCGACTGAAGAAAGTCTAATTTAATGCATCAATCCTTTTAAGTCATATTTATTGAAATATTCGTAAACAGTTCATGATAGTCCCTCAATTATGTTCTCCGACCAATAAGAAAAATCCTGAACCACCCAAGTCAAGTAGCCGGGCAACATCTCCATTCAATATTGAAAAGGAATAATTTTAATGGCGTTCGACTCAGAACACCTAAGGAAGCACAGAATTCATAGGCATTACATCGAGTCTTGTCAATCTCTATAGATCAATGCCGTCGAAGTATTTAGTATCAGTTCTTCATCGTACTAGTGTGCCTAATCTCCTGTCGCCTTTGTTCGCAGTACTGAGAAGGCTTTTTTGTAAAGGCATTGTTTCACGTTAGCACAACCGTACTATGAAAGCCTCTGAATTCCACGAAAGTTACTAGAAAGTTACCAGAACGTCGTAAGTTTTACATTCAAGCGTCCAGTAGAGGTAAACGTAATGAGCTCGTGATAACTTTGAAGTACTGTTCACTTACGACATGAAACCTCCATGTAACATTAAATTAGTAATTATAGACTGCAGGTGATAGGAAGATAACGTCTTTATTCTTGCTTCCCATCCTCTAAAACTGCGTGATTCTCCTATATTTTTTTGCGTTGCCTTTGAGCTATTTTGTGGTATGAGGTAGGAATTATCAGATAGTGTTCACGTGTCAGAGGAACACGGAAGTTATATATTTTTTCGTCATAATTCTTCTGGGAATTTACGCATGTTGGGACCAATGTGAATCCGAACACGTGTGAGACGTGGAAATGTTGCACGTGCCATATTTCTGACTATAAATACGGCCAATTTCTGGCCCTTGAAGTCAGTGTTTCCTCAGGAAGCTAACAAGAGCCACGATGAAGTTCCTCATTGTTCTCTTCGCCCTCTTCGCCTCTGCCTTCGCCACCACCGTCCAAGATTGCCGTAAGTTAACTTTTGCAACATACAGCTTCTTTCCTTGACACTTATTGATGACGACGGGATACGGAGTGCAGAAGGTGGTCAAACTCCGATCGGGAGACTGATTCGGGTGGACATTGAAGGTTGTCAAACGCCGCCTTGCATCTTGCCACAAGGGTCGATAGTAAATTTCGAGATCGAGTTCGAGACAGGTGAGTCTACTCTCTTTCTCTGCTCCACATTAAAGATTGAGTAGTTCCATAAAAGTATCTTTGTTATCGTATGAAGTGACGTCGACTTCCTTCTTATTTGTCATAGTTATTGGACTTGGTCAGCAGAAGTGTGTCTTATCCTTTTTCGTCTACAGAGAGTTTTCCTATATTTACCATTTAAGGCTAAATCTATTGCAAGGGATATCTCGTGGTGAACCTCGGAAATCGCATGCAACTCCTATAGAGTCATGAGAGATCCTTAAAGCCCGTTTTAAAGAAATACAGGAAATACATATTATGCTGCTTTAATCGACCAATGTTCCAGTCATAGCTACCTGTATATTCAAAAGCATCCTGACACGGTTACTGTGGCCGATTTAAATGCCCAGCCAACCTCTTCAAGCTAAGCGTGATATGGGAGATTCGCTGCAACGAAAATGCCACATCGCGTGAACGGCATTTAACGTTTTGAATATGAAACTCGCTTTTGTTGGAAATGAGACGAACAAATTGAAGTTTATGGCGTTGTCGGTTACAAGGTGAGGCAGGAGAGGATCTGGAACCGGAAATAGTGGCCATTCTGGCCGGTATCGAGATCCCTTATGATGGCGTGCCCAAGGAGGCTTGCGAAGACCTCATTCAAGGAGACTGTCCTTATGCCAAGAATGAAGTCTTGATCTACTCTCAGGAATTCGAGATTCTCCCGATCTTCCCTCCCGTGGGTGGTTTTATATCTCTGCCCAAAATTTACTCCAGTTATTTTCACATAAAAATCTGATACATTGGTGCTTTTTCGGGTAGGTTGAAGTCACGGTGAGGTGGGCCCTCAAGGATGAGATGAACAGGTGGCACATGTGCTTCGAAGTGGATATAGAAGTCACTCTTCCCTGATGTTGCAACACAGAATGCCCATAAAATTCCTCGTCTTCTAAAGTCTCTGAAAGCGTTCTTCCTCCCAAACCTATCACTCTTTGCATCAATAGTTGTGAATTCTTCGATGAATGGAAATAAAATTCTTGAAAGAAATCTTCACATCGAGACTACAAGCGTTAGATGGGTGGGGAGATACGTTTTGGGAAGATACACAATTTAACCCACAATGGATATGCCATTTTCAAGTATTTCTCTTCAATTTCTTCCTCAATCCTTATTGGATTAGTGCTCACCTACACCCTCAAAATGATTCTATAGGAATGTGACGTCTTTGCACGCACGCGCAGCAATGTGGAGCCCCTTCCAATTGAAAGATGATCTCATCGAGGTCAAAGGGTTCCAATTGAGTAATTGCAAACACCTGGAAAATTTCATAACTTTTACCATTTACATTTGCTGTTTGTCCGTCATCATGTGGAAGAAAGGCTGATCGATTCCTTTGTCTGCCAGATCTGCCGATCGAGAGTTGTACAATATCATTCTCGAGCATGGTCGAGACCATTCATGGTCCACGTGGAGCCCTTAATCCAAGGTATGTATGCATGGTTGACGCAGAATGCTCGAAAAAATTCCCAAAACAAACTCGGGATGAGACTGGCGACGGGTACCCTCGGTACAACTGATCGGACAATGCTGCCGACAATCATACGGTGCGTGGGTTGCATGTTGAGATCACTTTAGTGTTCCGTTTAGTGCCTACTTGAGCTGGACGTTCCACGCATATATAAATGTCGAAATTTGCTCATCGGTGCTAACGGTCGGTATCGGAAGAGCGAAATTCTAAAAGACAAACAAACGTGATTCAAAAAGCATGCAGAGTCGAAAGCATTGAAAGGGCGATGAAACGGAACGCAGACTAGTTGGAAAGTAAAAAGATTAGGAGATCGATAGACTCGGAAGACCGAATGCCAAGGGCCGAAACTGGTTATATTTGCCAGACTCCACCCTACCCACCAAGGTCTGCGTGAGTCTAGAATACAAGTTCCAAGGCAGTCGACTCTCTAGTTCTTGACTGAAGTCCAAGAGACTGGCCTGGTCGTCGCTACGTGGAAGAAGAATATTTTGCGTTGAAAATCCGGATGATGACTTGCCTTGCATTCGTACCTTTGGATGACGTCAGGAAGGTGTTCCATGAATTGCTCGAAATCGCGTCGGATAATCCTGTTCCAATTACGGCATATTCTCGGGAGGCTTACATCGATCGCAAAACACGTGGAAGGCCGCTATAAACCTGACTCATGGGATGCCCGTCATCGTACTCCGGTGGGAGACCCTCTTAGAACAAATTCAATCGGAGCATGACACAGGTGAATTCCTTGCTTCTCTGCCGGTCAAATTTATATATTCGCCTTCATTCTGCGGCTCCAGAGGGAACAAGCAGTGGCGGAACAGAAAATCATGCAGCTTGAGGCCAGAAACATCATTCGAAAGAAAAGAAGAAAGACGAGTGGATACTCCAAAGAAGAGTATGAAAAACGCCCGAACTTGTCCTTCCTAAGAAGATTGGCACACAATACTGCCCTGTGATGCTTGTTCTTGAAGTTATCACGACCACATTTCAGACTTGAGATGACTTGAAATTTCGTCATTCTATTTTCCGAAACTTCGAGAGTGAATTCGACATTCGAAGTAGAAGTTCCCCATTCGTTACTCCGTGCTTTTCGATAATAAAAAAAATTCTGCTTTCCGTCTTTTCACTCTGTGATATGTCTCCTGCATTTAGTTCATTCTGTCTTCCGACCTTTCAAACTAATGTCTTACGAACATTAGGCGCGGACCGGGTGCTAAGTATCAAGTGTATTCACAAATATACTTGGAAAAGGAACGACTGCGCGCGTGTCGAAATCCGACAGAGTGCTACAGCAGTTGAAGGTGACCATGTTGTGGTGCACGATGAGAGTTCCTCAAATGTCGATACGTCGGTGCAGCTGAAGCGGCTTGGTGATTCACGGATAATGCAACACACGATCAGTCTCGTGGCACAGTTTTCCAGGTCGTGCATCCTCCGAATGGGCAGTCGGTGTCCTATGAGGAAGGTCACGAAGAGAAAGCTCTTAGATGTCCTGCTACGCGCAACACAACCGTAGCCGGTTGGTTCCATTTCAATCGTGAACACCCCGAAGCATGCACTATCTATTACCGAGACAGTTCGCATTCAGTGGTACTGGAAGCCGCGACCGAGAGGTAGTGACAAGGTTAACGGCAAAATCACTGCCGTGACTCCACGAAACATACAAGTGGTATCACTTGCGATTATTGTTGCTGAACTTCACCGGTGCAACTTCATACGAGCATCTCCGCACTGTAACCGGTGCACTCCTACCTATAATTCGAGATGCAGCGCGTGAATCGGGCCCCGTCGAAGACGATGAGGAACAGAATCGTTGCATGGAAAAGGGTGCGTCATACACGAAGCCGGGCGTTTAGCGCAGTGTCTCTGTGCTAATACTCGTTCACTGCCATCCCGTAATAGTTTCGACAGGCGTATGTCAGAGGATTTCGCTCGCTTAGGAGAGGATTAGAATACTGCTACGGCCAACTCACTTTCCCCTTGAATAGACTGTTGGCACTGGAGCGACAGCATGGAAAAAAAACTCTAGACAAACAATTGAAAACTAATAAAATAATAAAAACTCACTGGGTCTCAAAACACTTGTCTGACATCGATGAACAAGAGAATCTCTGCGAAAGGATGCTACTGGAGGTCTACCTAAAGCGCACAATACGCGTCTCTAAGATCGTAACTGGTGAGACATGGCTCTATCTCTAATGACCCGCCAACTAAAACTATAGTCGAATCAACGTCTTTCTGGGCACTTGATACAGTTTCACTGGGACCTACGAAGGGGGGGCGCGTGTTTTTGCAAATTTCGGTCACTAATTGTCGGCAAAATTATTTCAAAATTCACTGGAACTTCCAAAATCCTGTAGAAAAAGTTGAATAAAAAAAAAGACAGCTTCAGGCATCAAGATATATGACCTTTACTTTCCGTGCAACCCTCTTATATTTTGGGAAACAGCAAGTTCCTCCAGTGACAGTAAGTTTTGGGTAGTGTGGTGCTCCCATGATCCTTTCACTCGTCAAAGCTTCGGGAATAATTTCCTTGTAAATTACGCCTTCGGTAGATTCGACAAAAAGCAGTTTGTCCGTCCTATATAAGGAAATAATGCATCTAACTTTTGATTTATATCAGTTGGTCTCGTAAACGCACGGAGAACTCAGATCGACCGCCCTGTACTTACAGAAGTATAAGGATACCTACATCGTGCAAACATCGAGCGAAACGAATTTTGTTGGCAGCAGTACGCAAGTCTTCCATCAATGTAATCCTTGGGAACGATGGCCACAACGAGCTAATTTTGATGCAAGTCTTGATACGACCGCGAAAAGCTTTGTGAGCAAACGGCAACGCTTGCCGAAAGTCACCACCAAGCGCAACTACTTCGGCACCGATCATCGTCCATCGAGTCTCGCAAGGCCCGTTCGATCCTTGCCAGACAAACAGCTCCATCGACGCTTCGTCCCGAATGATGACATCGGTCATTTGTATCATCGCCTGCACCTTGCGCGATGACCGACACGTTCTATGCGTGAGCAGGTTCAATTTGCAAGGCCGTGTGACTCATCTTATACCACCTTGCAGCAGAATCATCACCAGTCCACGCAACTCTCAAAACATTGTCCTTTTCCACGCGATATGTGAATGTTTCACCACTGCCACCTGGTGAAGAGGCAGGGATGCACTTCCCATTGCAATTACCGTGCCTCGCAACATCTGGAGTGCTTCATCGCATAGTAAACATAGAGTTGTGCATAGAGTTGCTGATTTTGATTTAGTAGAAGAATGAGACCAAAAAGTTATAGGCTGGTGATAGATATCGCTGGATATTTTGAAGCAATATGGACCGTTACCGCGGATGTCAACAATCAATGCCACGAAGGGAGCAAACGCGATTGCGTTTTTGCTCCACCTGATTAACACGCGAAATTTGCGCGTACGTTCGATTAGAACTCTAGCGAATATCTAAATGGGTTCGAATCACTATGAAAATTGTGCCAAAGTTAGCCTTTCTTCGCTTCAAAATGAACAGTCCGACAATGTTTAACAGAATATCCCTCATTCATAGGGTCGAGATTGTGCAGAACGGCTGGAATGACGTTGGGCAACCCGGCCACCGCAGGCCGAGTACGCGATGGCGGTTCGACGTGTACATGCGCCACTCTCCGCGTAGCTCTAATAGTCCTACGGTGCCTCCAGTCAGCTCTTCAACCGGCATTGAGATCCTCTCTTGTTCACTGCTTATTGCTTACCTACGCTGCCCCGCTGCTTCAAATAAGCGGGCTCATCACATAAAAGTTATTCAGCTCCTTAATTCATTCCACGTAGCCTATGACCTAATGCGACAAAGGCTTTAGGGCTCCTTGGTAACGCCAAAAACACACAATCCATCACCCGCAGGCCGCATGCGGCCTAATGGAGACTTGTATTTCATTCCCTCGAATGCTTCTGTTCTAACACCCGCAGTTTTATGCAGCCTATTTCTCATTTGGCCCTTTGTGGGGAAAAGATTGTACACCACTAGGCTTCACAAGGCATGAAACGCGCATGGCCTAGAGCCTGGAAAGGAAATCCTTGTAGGCCAACTGGTAACACTATATCTATCTTACGCATTAACGCATTCTCTCATGGAATGGTGAATGTTGGGGAAACTTAGTTCTTAACAATGAATTCCCAAACTACCTACTAGGTGTGTCATAAGTACAGTAACCTAATAAATTAAAACTTTCTCAAACACCCGTAAGACTTATACGCTCAACATTTTATTTGTTCTTCATTGGTTAGGACGAAAAAGCACTGAAAATGGCCGCTGTTGGCCCGAACTACAAGTTCAAGACGGCCTTTGAAGGCCTTGGAGACGGCACGCAAGTAGGAATTGGGCATTTTGGCCTACTCCTTTGTCAGGGCTGACTTGAAGTCCAAATTCGGGCAGTTGACAGCACAGGCCTTGGTATCCAAGTTGTTCCAGACGCTGAAGTCCATGGGATACAGGTCCGGGGATGAGGGCAATGAGCTCCTCATTGCTCGAAAAGGCAGGAACG